CCATAAACCTAAAGACCATATTAGATTCTCATAAACAGTTCTAAGATGCAATATAGGGCTGTCCTATTACTGCTGTTGCCAGACTCACTATATATCACGGTTTGTGTATCAGTCCCTTAGATTCTTTCTTTTAGATTAGCTTGTTTATTATCAATAAGTAACCTTTATGTTTTAAGAACATAATTTTAATTAAGTAAAGAAAATTAATTCTGTACAGGCTATACGATGCGAATAAAAGGTTTTATTTAACGAAAACATATAGTGTATTTATATCGACACTCGTGCTCACTACGTACATGAGCACTTACTAACTGTCAGTATTAGAACAAGATAAAGTAGTTTTGTTTTTCTGCTTATTTTTAATTACTTAAGAAATTGTACTTATTTACATATATTGTAGCAGGCTTCTCGCATATTGGTTCCATTGAGTACAGGTCAAATGGAACGCACTTTTGTTAGATTTTAGGACGGAAATGTTTTAGGAAGCTAAAATATTTCATGATTTCAAAGGGTTCAGAAATCGCTAAATTAATGTATCGTATATATTTGAAACACAATGCATCATCCGCACTACTAGGGAATCAAATACACCAGGCCACTATACAAACGCAAAAGAAAACTGAAATTCACAGATAGCAATGACTTACCAGAAATAGGGTTTTGTTACCTATACGTATCTCATTATCTTTATATCTTAACGAGCACGCTTTCACCTGATCTGTAGAAAGGGTTATATAACGAGAATAATGTTGTAGACGCTCCACTTAGAAATTGTATAACAACATATTACACAATTAAACTACTGTCTAAGTACTGTTTAGCCACGTCAGGGTAGTGCTGATGCACTACAGATATACGGGAATTAAGTCATTGGGACTCATATAGGAAGCGATCGTTGTAACTATATGGACATCCGGATATGTAAATTCTAACCTGATATTTTTACATAGAGAGCTTATAAGAACTATCGTACTAGTTTTGGTCGTCTAATTAAGTTCTTCAACCTATCGTTTAGCGTGTACGTAAAGGGACTATTCAATGTTATACTTCCTGTGGAACAGAGACTCGAAATATTCTGGGTGGACGGTGGTTGAACCGGACGAAATTTGCCAACTGAAAATAACGTACCCGTAGTGTAATTGGTCGAAGTTTTACGGGAATTGTGTTAACGGTCTCAGAGTACGACGAAATTCTTTGGTGTTGTGAACTACGCAAAATTTTGATTAAGGCGGTCCTCTGATACTTGTATAACGGCAATGTTCACTGAAAGAACGAATAATGCATTATTTATTTGATTTATTACATAGCTTCAACGTTGATTACCAATAAAATAACAACAGTGTTGCAATAACAGCGGTTATTTTCAATGGCTCGGATTGTTTTCGTTATATATTTGCTACGATCTACTGGTTTCGAACTTTTGATGATAAACACCGCTCATGACCACTTACGGCAAATCATTTCTACTCGAAAAGCAACTTCAGAATATAAGCAGGGTTGTTATTATATTAAGTAAATAATCGGCAGTGATCGTTGTTATATTACGGCTGGAGGATACTGAATAACCGTGAAAATATTATATTTGAGTTTTACGTAACGACGTCCCATAACATTGAATATCTGGGTTTCGTGGCGATCTCGGAGCTCGTGTATAACAATCAATGGATGCATTTGTTTCCAGCATCACATTTACCACTGGGCGCTCAGACGGAGTAGCTTTACCGTGCATGTCAGTAGGTCGCACTCGAATATGTTGAATCGGCTCTTATTGAGCCTATATACAGTCTGATCCTCTCTCATCATTACTGCCATGAATGTTAGAAGTAAACGACCAACTGCAGTTATCTTTTTCGATGCGTACGTAGAGGACCTGCAATGGAATGGGAATCGTGTACGTGAAAACTGTCTAAAATATTTATTCTTCTGCTTTTATCTTCTTAACCGTGAAACATGAATGTTTTTGTTTCACGTCCAGTTATGGCGTTTAGTATTGCTTTAGAGGGCATGGCTTTAGAAAGCACCAATCGATGCGTGTCTACGCCCAGTGTCAAACCCAGACCACTGAAACTTTAGCATGCAAGAGCCCTATAAGCCTACCATAACGTTTAAAAAAAATCTTATACCTAAGCACAGATTTGTCTGCTAAGAACTGTCCAACATCTTGCAGTGCTTAATTTCGCGCTTCATTAGTATGCGCTGCTCCAAAGGAACTAACAAAGTTAGTGACAACTTAAACTAAGCGTTTTTTTTTCTTACAATAACTTTGCTGCAGGTATATATTTGGCAAACACAAATTCATAGTAGATCTTCATCTTACCTCCAATTCATGATCAGGATCTACAACAAATTTCAAAAATCTATACGAATACATTTATTCTAGTTACATGGTAGGAAATCAACAGATTTTTTAAAATAATAAAAGTTATCAGTCCAGAAATAGATTGATATGCGAACCACTGAATCACTCTTAGCTTTATTCTGACTACGTACCCAACGCAACTATTTCATCTATATTGTTCAAGTATCATTCAGTACCCTTAGTTGATCCGATTTTGAAAGTATTTTCTTTGTATGCTAGTGAGCAGGGATGCATGATAAAGATGTTACCATTAGAACGAAAAGGATCCAGGTGGTCGTTACATTAAAAGAAGTGAACTTGCTCGCTTCTAGCAGTAAATATTACTTGTTTATTTTTCTACGCAAAGACAAATCTTTGGACTCGATTATCCTTTTCTTACGATACTCGTCAGAAGTCGGGTAGGAGCTATGTGAGATGTTCGTCATAGCACAGTTTATTCGTTCACTCTCAATTGAACAAAAGGTAGTCTTTTGGACTGTGATCGAACCTCTGTTAAGTTTGGACAAAACTATTCTGCCAGCATAGTCGATAGTGATACGTGGCGGGTCGTAATTAGCGGTCGCTTTTCTTCCCCCCCGCCCGCCCGCCCGACTAAGATATAAAAACTGAGTTAATATTATCTGTACGATACCCAGTTGTGCATCCTATGTTGATTCGAATGAACTTTTACCTTGCTGTGCATGCACTCGTATTGTTGTGTACACACAGACAATGGGAGAATTCGGCTCCGGCAGAGGGAAGGCCAGTCGGGAGATTCACATAAACCGCGCGGCGATCCTATCTTCTACAAAGCTGCACACAGAGCTCTGGTGGGCGTCTCAGTCATTTTTTATAGCTAATGCGCCCCTATTCAGCATTGCAAGCACGTATTCGTCTGAACAGAAAGCCCTATATGGACAACATCTATCACGTGAAACATCTGATACTCATAAGCGCATACTGTTAATGACATAGGACTTTTTCATACGACGCCACATTAAAAGGACTAGTGCTCCTGCCGGTTGAAAGTCGCCATGCCCAATACAAAATCTATCTTGAATAATGTTTAGCATGAATGTGTGGTAGTTACACTTGTATTCAAATGAAAAAGATATAACGCCAGCCAATCGTTAAAAGAGGCCGATTCAGCTAGTGATGCCTTTTCTATATATAATCATACGCAAGGACATTTTAGGAAATTATGGGAGACTGTTTTGATTTTGACATGCGAATTGCCACACGATGCGGACATACTCACATAATTTCAACATATTCTCAAGTTCATATCCTACTTCATACTATTTCAGACACAGATTTATTATCTTGAAAAAGTTAGCTCGTAGTTATTACTAGCGGTTACCTGTATTGGCATGCGAAGGGCGGAACGATAGCAGCTTCGACAGAGCTAGGCTTACAGTTAGAGCAGCAGCAAGTGACGATCATTCCTAATACAGAGATAGTGATTATATGAGCGTGATTATTGTTTTCCATTGCGACGGATATTGTTCATAGCTGCGTAAAGGTTTTATCAGAAGTACTTTGTAAATGGCACCTTCTAAACAATTATTGGCATTTTTACGTATTGAAGTGGCTCACTTATCTCCATATCTTGTCCTGGCAAGCATTACTTTGTTTGTCGAACATCTATACCTTAATGCCTGCTAGACACTAAGGCCGATTTCGATACGTACAGATGTCGAAACTAACTAACTTAAAGCTCATAAGAACACACGAACAACAAAGTGTGACATTTGCGTCAGGACGGATCAACTTATGTTTATAAGTTTTTTTTGTTATGATGTTTTTATGTCTTGTACTACCAAGACCATTAACAGAACCTTTTATAGGTTCTATTAATGGGCTTGACGTTTCATGATTTTAGCATCAACTAGGAAGGTTCTATAGTACGTGTATGAAGGTCGTAAGTAAACTATATACTACATGCGCAAATGATTAAAGCTCATTGGATATATTGCTGTATACGCCCCGATGAATAAAAATCTCAGTTGCTGCAGTTGTTTCATATCTAGAGCTGAATAGGAGAATTAGGCAAATTGTGAACAAATCAATAAAAACAACTGCTACTATCATATGAGCCTGAAAATAGGCCAACAGAATACGTCAGGTTGAAATAAGTCAATGCAGCTACAATGGACACGGCAGAAATCAGTGTTAGAAACGAATCTTATAACCACGACTCGCTTAACTCGCTATTGACTTTTTGCTAACAAAAGTTCAAAAAACAAAGGTATACAAATGTAGTTTAATTGCATAACACCTGCTAGTTCTTCATTTAGCCCTAGTATTAACTATGCGATAAGCTCTTAACTGGAACGCCTGCTTCTTCCCTACTCAAACACTTCTCTATAAATGCCAATGATAATGGTTCTTGATCGCGTTCTTATACGCACGCGACGTTCATTCAACTTCGTCGTAAAGCACCAGGCTGAAATTTGTTCGAGTAGCCAGCACCCCTCGCCTACAGGAGAGAGGGGTTCATTGCAAACTTCTACCCGCACCCTCTCTGCGGTGTTCGAGTTAGAGGAGGAAGGTCCACAATAGCTTGTCCATGCGAAGGCTCGCAGTCCGGTTTGTGCGCCTATATTAGATAGTGAATTGTACAGTACGGAGGGACTGAAGTCGTGCCATTCGACAAAAACGTTGTTGCGTGCTTACGTACCGTGATACACCGCCACGTTCAGCATTGTATTACGTATGGCTTAATTGCTCTTGCTAAACATCTACTCATTTGTAAAGAGAGCGCCTGTCGGTCGGTCAAAGCTTCTCGTTTGACGGGATCGCGATCCACTAGCTTTTACAAATAAAAAAATAGAATAGCAATAAACTTTTTTTTCACTGGTATAGTGCTGTCGTTACGGTAACGATAATGATCACTACGTGAGTCGAAAAGTATCTTAATTCAAATTTACTGACGATTTGACAACAAGAGTTATAGATGTTGTTATCATTTTGTCTTGACGCCATCAAGACTGCGAAAGGAAAAGTCTAAGTGTTGGTTCAGTGCTTAACTGTCAAAAAAAAAAAAATAGTGCCAAAACGGATACGTAAATTTGAATTGCAGTCCATTGCGGTGCACTTATCGGCCGGTGTTATCTAACTCTTAACTGATCATCCACGAATTAGAACGAACTGACGGCCTAATATTGGCTGTTTTACTTTCCACAAGGATATTGCTTCTCGTAGAAAAATACATGCTGTCATTATGGCAAGCACCAGAAACAGAATGCGTAACATTCTGCGGATCTGTCTTATGGGAATGTTACTGCAATGCGTGATCAGGCGGGATTTCGTCTCTGCACGAAGAAGTAAGTTATAATCATGTTGAAATCACCTCTGTCCTATTATACAATTTAGGTTGCGAGTCATTTATATGGAAATATTCTAGGAACACACAAAGATAATAACGTCTTCATTAATTATCTCGGCTAGAATGTCTAGGGTTATATGAAGGATACGTCTATGAAGCGACTTCAGTAGATCTATACAGCAGCTAACAGAAAATCGACGTTTACGTATGAATTGCCGTACATCGTCGTACATGGCTATTCGTAGCCGTGAATTGTTCATATGACTTAACGCGTCACCGGCAGTCGGCCCTAAAGGGTCGCATGTACTGTTGTTAATAATGAATACATGTCTAGCTTCATTGTCTTTGCCCGAGCGGTTTTTCTGAATCACATTTACTCTTACTACAAAAAAAAAAAAAAAAAGAAAAGCTACTGCTCGCTTAGTATAATGTTGCTACTATCACTGTTAACGCTACCGTCACAAAACATTTATTTCTCGTGTCTATGCAGTACAAAACTGGTTCAAGCAGTAACTAAACTTTTTTTATATACTGAGAGTTGCAATACGTTAGTCTGCCTTCTCTATATGCTAAACACAGGCTGAAAGTTACCTTACTGACTGTAATGCATTTCAGCCCTTGGTAAATGGGCAGATTGTACTTCTCAAACGGAACAAACATCACACCCATTCTAAGGCATTCTTTCTCCTCAAACTTCTAGTCCCGATGTCAAAGCCTTTACTACATACGTACGAGCATGCTTCTCAAATCATTCTCGTGTTCGATGTATTTTTTTTAGGCTAGATGTCGGGAGATCAGAAATTAGATCAAACAAGATAAATGTATTTGTTTCATCAATAACTTGCCACCATATTTCTTACTTTGACTATCTTTTGCGATAAAAATAGATTTAGGGGGCATTATCATCAAAGTTGAATTGGTAACTTATGAAATTCCAATATCTGCAGCAAGTGACCAGAAGCAATCGATCAGTATTAATAATTTCGCCATGCAATACGCTTTCGGATAAGTGATATACGGCTAAATGTTCCTACTTTGTTCGCCTGAGGATAACTTTCTATAGGTTTTAGGTATACGCAGCAAATTTCCAATGTCAGCCTCGTTCAAATCATTTCATCAGCCAGCCATCCAAATATTCCTCTTTTGAACACATGCAATTGGACGTTCAATCATATCAACCGAAATTATTTAGCAATCCGACCAAGATACTAAAGTCAAATCTTACCAGGTTTATTTTCGACTTACATGAAACTGTGCGATACTTTAATGTAGCACCTTTATTTAACTTAGAGTCCAGCATACAATTTTATTCACTCTACGCTATACGTAAGCAGAAGTCTGTATTGGCGCTCATTTCGATAACTCACTTCATTAGTTGGGATAATTAAAAAGGCAGGCAAGATGGCTGATGGCCAGTCATAGACAGACTAAGTCTTACAATGGCTATGATATTATGCCACAATGAGTCGTTGCGAGATTTTACTATCTTTATCCCATAGAAAATGACTCGATGAGAAAGCAGCGATGAGGCATATATCAAAGATCGCCGCTGGCATGTCGGAAATCACCAAATCTGCTGCGACTCTCACAAACGTAGCAAACCACGCCTGCTTACCGCTGCTAAAAAACCGTACAATTCTTCCTATAGAGACTCCTTGGAGCATTTTGCTGCTCAGTGCTGATTTGCCCTGGGCTCTTCCTGTAATAGTTTCAAGGCTGTTCTTCTTCTCCAGAGCTCCGAATTCAAGACGCCAGATCAGTCGATTACAAGAAAGTTACATCAAACCTCGATACTAACTAGATAGCAACATTTGTCTTAAACTTCGCTGAAGTTCCTAAAGGTTGCTTTAAATAGACAGGCTGAAAAATCCATATGTGATACACACATACACATATGGGGGGAGTGACAGGCCTGCACATTGAGACAAATTGAGGAATTCGTAGAAAGTCGTACGGGGAGCAAATTACCTTTTAGTTCATAAATAGACAAAAATAGAAGAGCGAACTCAGAACGAAGAAAATACGAAAACATCTGATCCAAACAATGCTTTCTATGGAGTCAATATCCGATGAACGAAGACAACATTATGGTTTCGTAATCGTCACGCCGGTACAGTTATGCCCGATTAAACAAACTCACACGTCATTCCATCTCGCTTCAGGAACGTCGGCGCTCTTAGATCGACGTACGTTCAGCAAAAAAGCAGATTAACATACAAATTGTTTCCAGTCGTCGCTTATCTACACGTATATCATTACGTGTCAGTTTCCACCCATCGACTAACAGACACGAATGAACGTGACGTAACGATGAGAATCTACTCGATCAATGAACTGCAATACGTGAACAAACCACAATGAATCTAAAATTTTCCGAAGCTGTCTTACTAAGAGGGAAGCAGGTAAAACATACAATGCAAACACACTCAAATGGAAGCTAAATATTCTTTTCCCCCTATGAACGAATAGAGGTGATTGAAGAAATATCGACAGTTCAGGGAAAACGGAAAAAAAAGCTACTATTCTGTGCAAGGAAGAAAAGAAGACATGACTCTGATTGGGGGTCTGGCATTAAAATTGGAGCGAAATGTCAAGTATAGCCGTAGGGTACCGAAGGGTCGTGTATTTAGAATGAACCGAGTGTTTTAATTTGTTAGGTCAGCTATACTATATGCAACTGGACACATAGAGGCATTATATATTTGGATGACACTTCATACTTTAATGAAGTACGGGTACGAATTCTCTCGAAACAATCGTGCGACAAGCACTAACAGCTGTGTATGTTGTAAATATTCCTGATCACAAAATATTATGTTCTATAGCGAGCAGCGAAAGCATGAATGGGTAGCCTGCCGATGCTATCTAGTCGCTGCACGAACGCTTACTATTTTTCCTTTGAATTAAGTGATGTCTCCTGCGGATACGAAGCTCGCTAGGTAAGCTGAGTGCTTTTGTTGCGCCTATAGTGCCAATAAGCTCTAGTCTATATATGGATATGTTTTTTATACGGCCAGAGAGCGTCAATTGGGGAATCATGAAGCGTCAATTAGGATTGATCGTTCCAAAGTGAAAAAACATGAATTGCTAACCGGTGATTACTTCGCTTGTCGCGCACTACGACACCGCCGGAACGATACGACCTCGCTGTAAATCGACACACGGAACAAACGATGTCCTGCAACTCCGTCCCGCACCGACGCAACCAAGTAGCTATTGAAATAAAACGTATAGTGCGGCATCACACTTGCTAAAGCTGTACACACTTCACCTAACCGATCCCAGCCAAACTTCCCTTAAGCATATGATCTTGTATAGTAATTTTTCTTTTTATTTTGACATGAAGCGGATGATTTGTTTATTTTGCTATAGCACAACAATATTATTTCTTTCGATAGAGTCAGAAACTAGTCATACTAGCGTCACATTTCTATTCCGTTATATTAAACTAGGCTGATAAATACTGTGAAAGATTTTTCTTTGCAATTTGGTCATTCTTACAATCGTTTATTCATGAAGAACGAAAAAAAACGATGACTTTCAGCTTCTAGAAATCGATTGGCAGTCAATCATTCACTGAAATGACGCAATTTTCAAACATTATTGCGCTTTGATGAGCTCTGTGCTGCTACTGGAAGCAACACACACTATCTAGTGGTTAGACTGATAGAAATGTAGCGGTATATAGTGATGTACATGCTGCTCTCTTCCAAAAAAAAAAACGCTTCCAAACCAGCCTCTGCTGTCGTTGCTGTCCAATCGTTTAGCTCTTATGGAGCATAAACAAATTTAAGCATCTACAGCTCCGGTCAGCTTCAATTCGTTCGTTTTGCTACTGTGGATTTGCTCATCGTAAACACAGACCAAGAGATAAATCAGAGATATTTTTGATCACCAGAGGAAAACATCTCTGATGTCATTACTGTTAATATTATTATTATTATTACGCTTAGGGTTCAAGCATTTACCTGTATTTGCATACTCGTAGGAAGCGCCATCAAACCCTATAACGCAAATTAGACCTGGCAGATTCGTTTGTTGCTGGTCAATCAAGCTGGACAAAGTAAATCTTGTTCAGTAGACAACTCTTTAATACTCTGCGCTATTCGTAAGATATAAATATCGTATGAGCTGTTTTTGCTAGCTTTTTCGCAACTTAATCTGCTATCCGACGTACCGCGTCAACTTCAAAGAAGCAGACCAGTCTGTCTAGTATTCTATGAATAAAAAGTCGATTGAAGCCGCGCCTCATGAGCGGAATATCTCGAAGACAAAGCTCGGCAGACAATATCGTTAGAAAAGTATGTATCTTTTATGGTCTTATCTCAGTATTAATGAGCATCTAGACTCAGGCCCTGTTTACTTATATCGAGTGGTCCTAGTGGCAAGAAACCCCTCCAGGAGAATGCCGCCTCTCATGCAAAGCTTTCGTTGATTCTTTTTCAATTCGTTCTTAAAAGAAAAGAACCTACCTTTTAAGTGGACACCTTCTAAACATGTGCGGGATACAAGGGCCTCCAGCCTTTAATATGTATGAAAGGCACTCCATATTTTCACTTATTGGAAATAGCCAAGCTACATGCTTTGTCGGAGGTTTTAAAACCCCCCATTAGCTGCAGTGGCAAGATATGAAAGAAAACAAAGGAAAGCTATAAAACAGCAGATCGAAATTCCGACGGCGGTGCACTATATCGCACCATTTTTCGCCTTTATCCTTCATGTTACCGTTATGACAATGAAGCCATATCGAGTTAATAAAGCACAGTCGAGCTGACACAGGAAAATTAAGACGAGCTCTTTTATAGTTCTCATCATTTTAGTCTTGTATAATGTCCATATGATGATGCTTGTTACGCAGCTGAGAAAGGGTGTGCGGTCAGATAGTAGCTTAACGTCGAGCAGTGGACGCAAAATAGAAGCAGAGTAAACAATAGCCAACAGAGCAGCTGCAGCGACGCTGCCGAAGAAGAAGTAGAAAGAAAAACAGGAGCTTCAACC